GACCTTCACTGACTTCTAAACTCGCTCTCTGCAAAAGCCATTCCTCAACTTGAGATTAGACGAAGGTTTCTAATCATTAGAGGAGTGAGGTTCTGGAACGTCCTTCCAAGGGAAGTAGTGGGGGCAAAAGATCTATCTGGTTTCAAGATTAAACTAGATGGGTTTATGAAGGGGATGGTTTGATGAGATAACATGATCTTGGTAACTAATTGACCATTCATTATCAGTGGGAATAGGTCAACGGAGGGATGATAGGAGTTACTATAGAGAACTTTCTGGGTGTCTGGCTGATGAGTCTTGCCCTCATGCTCAGGGTTTAGCTGATTGCCATATTTGGGGTCGGGAAGGAATTTTCCTCCAGGGTAGATTGGCAGAGGCCCTGGAGGTTTTTCGCCTTGCTCTGTAGCATGGGGTACAGATCACAGCTGGAGGATTCTCTGCATCTTGGGGTCTTCAAAGTATTTGAAGGCTTCAATATCTGAGATATAGGTGAGAGGATTATTCTAGGAGGGGTGGGTGAGATTTTGTGGCCTGCACTGTGCAGGGGGTCAGACTAGATGATCATAATGGTCCCTTCTGACCTTAAAGTCTATGAGTCTATGAATGCTTTCCAGAACAGTGCTGGGCCACAATTTAGGAAAGCATCCCCACTGAAGAAAATACTAAAGCACATGCTTAAGTGCTGTCCTCAAAAGGGACAGATTTGAGAATATGCTTAAGTGTTTTCCTGAACCCAGCCTCCAGCCAGTTTTTAAATCAAGGAAACATAATTATCTGTCGTTCTCTAGTGAAACTGCTAAATGGAATACATTTATTAATGGATCACAGGTTAGCATTAAATATTGATAATTATGTCAATTTAATGTATTCAGTAAAATCATGTAAATACAGTATATGGAGGATCTGAACCTCAATATAAAGTTAGGAGTGTTGTGAGCTTTTTTTATATTATTCATTGTATTATCAAAAGAGTAACTAAATGGAAAATCTAATATTTCGCATTGGCTAATCATCTTTATTTCTCTATATTAAAAAAAGTTTTTCCGGAGGGACGACAGAGTGATGTCATCATATCACTCTGAGTCCCATCTGCCTCCTCCCTCTCTCCCCCTTTCCCTCTCTCCCAGCTTGAGCCCAACCCTCGTTGCTCTCTCTTGCCACTTAGAATTGCTATTTCAAACCAAGCCCCTACTCCCCTTCAGCCACTCCAACCCCACAGGGCTTTCAATGCCAAGAAACGTGGCACAGTAGCTAGCAGACCCCACACTGCAGCTGTGACAGGCAGGGGGGAGGTTACGGTGCATGGGACAGAAGCCCGGGGACAAGCGCTAGTAGCGGAGGTCCCAGCTGGGCTGATGTGCCAGCAGTGGCTCTTGGGGGCTTCCCCACCACCAGGCTTTTTGGGAGCCAGAGTGCAGTGCTTAACCACCTAGAGTCCGGCTGCTTCAGTAGAGACTCACCCATTCCCCAGCAGCTGCATTTACCAAGGCTGCCAGAGAACCCCCGAGCTGGCTGGGGGAGCTTCCACAAAAATCTATCTGTCCCTTCCCTGCCGCTCCCAGCAGGCAGGCAGCCTTGGGCTCTGCGGGCAGGGCTGGGGCAGTGAGCAGTGCAGGTAGGACCACATGGGAGAGAGGTCAGTACAGCGGCCCCCATGCTGTTGCTTTCCTCACCTCGGTAGGCTGCAGTGACCCAGAGTGCTGCATGAACATGGCACCACCTGCGCCTTGCTGCACCCCATGCAGGGTGGACAGTTACCCCTGGAACTTCCTGGCTGCCGGGGTTGAAGCTGGGCCTGGAGCATGCCGCGGCTGGGAGGGGAGGGTTAGGATTAGCAGGGGAGAGAAAGGGCCCAGGCTGAGGGATGGAGGGAGGAGGAAGAAAGGACCCTGGCTCACAGGGGTGGGGAGTGAAGTAGGGAGGGAGAAGGGACCCTAACGGGTGAGGCTGGGGGGAGGAGGAAGGAGGCGGCACTGGGCTGGCACAGGAGAGAGAATAGAAGTGGGTCCCGGGCTGGCGCGGTGAGGGAGGGAGAAGGAGCCTGGGGAGGAGGAAGAAAGGGTCAGGGCTGGTGGGGCAGGGAGAGGAGGAAAAAGGGGGCTTGGGCTGGTTCAGTGCAGGGGGAGAAGGGGCCCAGTCTGATGTGGCAGGGGAAGCAGGGAGAAGGGGGCCTGGACTGGTATGGCAGGGGAGAGAGAAGGGACCCAGGCTGGTGGGGGCAGGGAGAAGGGGCCTGGGCTGGTAGGGGGGGAGAAGAGGCCCGGGTTGGCACAGCTGGGGAGGGAGAAGGGGTCCAGACTGGTGGGGGAAGGGGAGGGAGAAGGGACCCGGGCTAGAGGTGGGGAAGGGAGAAGAGACCCGGGCTGGTGTGACCACAGATCAGCTCTCACTGGTGGCTGGAGGGGAGAGCCAGAGTTGCCTACTCCCCACAAGAGGGAGGTTGGCGAGTGCAGGAAGCTGGGGGCACAGTCCCCTTGTTAGCACAAAATGCAGTCATTACTTAACAGTGGATGAAAATTGAAAAAATCCAAAATATATTTTTGTGTGCGCAAGGGTGTATAATATACTATTTATACACCTTTGTTGTGTCTGACATCATGAAAAAAGCTCTTCAACTAAAACGGTGGTGCTACTGAATAGTAACCAACAAAATTTAACATCAAGGAATCTACAGTTTAGAAGACTCAGTCCCAATTAACTCTACACTAGCGATAGTTCCTAGTTCTTTGTGATAACCCCCTCTCAAAAAAAAATTCTCCACAAAAATTGGAGATTTTCTGTGATGACAATACAATGCTGAACTTCTAGTTTGCATACTAGTGTGTCCCACTGCAGGGGCTGGCCACCCAAATATTACTGCTCAGGGCTGACAGTACCAGTTTAGTTAATATGGTGAGACAAATAACAGAGGCTTGGATAAACATGGTTCTACTGTGTATGATTTTTTTTTTACAAAATATAAAGACTAAAAGATTTTCTGCAAAAACACAAATTCCATATTTTTCCATAGAAACAGATTTCCAGGATCCCTGGTGATAAAACACTTGCCTTGGATTCTGCCTCTAGGGGACCAAATGAGATTACATTTTCCTCAATAATTAAACCATTTCTAAATTTAAAAAATTATTTTATATCCTATCAAGGATAAAACATTAATATTTTCATTAAACTGTGTATTTTGAGAAAATGCAAATTTGCCTGACTCCATAATCCAGCCTAAGATTGAAATGGGGTTTGAATGACTGATATGATATCACTAGCACAACGTAAGTTGTTGAGGGTATGACCTGGAGTGGGATGTGATGATAGGTCTTAGATTCAAGACATCCAAAATCATGACAGAAAGGAAAGTTTGATGTTAATTCTGTACTGGTCTTAAAGGGTATATCTACACAGCAAAGTTATTTCAAAATAATAGCCCTTTTTTAAAAATAACTTTCCCAGCATCTACACAGCCAAACCAAATAGCGGAGCACTTATTTCGAATTTGGTAAACCTCATTCTACAAGGAATAACGCCAAATTCGAAATAGCTATTTTGAAATAAGTGCTGTGTAGACACTTATTTCGAAATAGGGGCCTCCAGCCTTCCCAGAGTGCCCTGGTGGCCACTCCAGCCTCAGACAAGAACATTCCTCTCCTTTCCCTCCCTCCCTGGAGCCCTTAAAGGGGTTGACTCTGGCCACAGTGCCTGTGCCAGCTCCAAGCCTGCC